AATTGGCCGAAATTAATTACCAACTCGCTTAAGTTACCTGGTTTAGTGGCTTAAATTTAATGAGAATTCCATTGAAGTTTGCCGACTCGCTTAACTTTAAGCGGGTTGAAAAAACAACTGTTTTCACGGGACTTCCGCTTGTCACTCGCTGAGCGACCTGAAAAACCGCTCGTGAAAACACGGCCATTGTTTAAAAAGAATTTGTTGCGTGCATTTCAGTCAGTTGTAATAGGATTCGTTGACACACTACCATTATTCAAGAACTTATTGCTAGGCAGGCAGTCTTGCAAACAGGAGAGTCTGGTGGAGGACTGCTTGAACAAAAGTTATGACTTCCATAACAGCCTTGAGGATGTGAAATCTCTTAGGGATCTACTTCTTTATCACAATCCTTCATGTTCCTCTCTTTCAGTGCACAGTTTTACAGTAGGCTTTGTCAGTCAATCTCTTGAGCATTATGAAAGGGAAACTGTTAATTTACCATCTTTTAAATGCCCGGTTGCAGATAAGATTTTGACCAATGCAAGAGCAAAACGAATTGCAGGTTCAGGTTTGAATCTCCATCAAATACGACTTATTCATGCAAGGGGAGGATATGATGGTCTTCACAGTGTTCTTAGTTCAAAGAGCAGCAATGGAAGATCCGTGGTAACAGCTTCCAAGAAAGTCTTGCAAACTCTGTCCAACTACCTGGAAAAGAAAAAAATTTTACCTCATCAAATGGAGATAAATGATTATGTTACTTTTGCCATGCATCAATGATAGGGCTGCTTTTATATAAATAAAGAAATGCTTCCCTTAAAGAATGGGGCATGGCAGATCTAGAATTATTCAATTCACTCAAAAAACCATCCGAAAGTATGACATGTACATTTATATAATACTAAAACTGCTACCTCCTCCTGGCAGCTTGGAGAATCCTTTCAAAGCTGATGGTATTTTACTTGAGGCAGTGTATGTTCCCACATGTAAATACATATAGTTTCAAAAATAAGGAAACTGCCTGCCAAGCAGAATATCCATGTGGTTGAAAGACAAGAGATAAAAGTTACATGGTTATTCTCATGGTTAATCTCTCTATGATTGTAAAGGAACAATTTCGTCTGGATATTTCGCCCTTTAATTAATCAAATGGGAAATAACCTCATAATTTCCATTTTTTAGCGGAACTCTCGCGCACAAAGCGCGTGCAGCAGAGCACCATGGGTAAAGAAATGTGATAAACTACCCATGTACATGTCCAAAGCTTTTGATAGTATTCGACACGATTTAATGTTATGTAAACTTCGCAAATCTGGTGTATCTGAGTCTGCGTGTACCTGGTTCGAAAGCTATTTATCGCAACGTCAACAAGTCGTTAAATTTCAGAATACTGTATCTGTTTCCCTACCCCTTACGGTTGGGGTACCGCAGGGATCTATCATGAGCCCGGTGTTGTTTACATTGTATGTAAACGACCTCTTTCAAGTTCTAAAACATTGTGAACCACTCGGCTATGTGGATGACACCAAGCTCTTCCTTGGGTTCCCCGCCAGCGAACTTGATGGCGTTATCTCTGCAGTAAACGAAGATCTTAAAGAAATATCGATTTGGTGCTGTAGAAATTCGCTGCTCATTAACCCTGACAAAACAAAGCTTCTTTATGTGGGCGTCCCACAACTCATGAGGACATTACCTACCCCCTTACCAAGTGCGACAATGCTGGGAACTCAAATCAAGCCTGTAACAGTTGCAAAGGACCTGGGAGTGTATATAGATTGTCATCTTAACTTTAACGAACATATCACTAAAACTGCCTCTGACTGTATGTTTAAACTAACGAGAGTTAATAGGATAAAGCATCTCTTAGATAAAAAATTATTTTATTGTTCGACGGTATGGAGTAGCACGAGTAAGAAGAACGTTAGAAAACTTCAGCTAGTTCAGAACTATGCCTGCAGAATCGTAGCTGGTTTAAGAAAATACGATTATGTTCGAGAAGCCTTGAAGTCCCTTAAATGGCTTAACGTAAGGGATAAACTGCTTTTTAACGACCTAGTGATGGTGTACAAATGCTTAAAGAACCTAACACCTGGTTACCTCCACAGACGCTTCCAATATCGCGCAAAAACTCAGCAAAGAGTCACAAGACAGAACAAAGACTTGACGTTGCCTCGGTATAAGCTGGCCACTGGCCAAAAGACTTTCAGCTACGGTGGGGTAAAACTTTATAACAGTATACCTAAAGATATAAGAGACACTGGACATTTTAACGCTTTTAAAAAGAGAATTTTTAAATATCTTTTTAATTCATAGATAGTTTTTTATTATTGAAATGTAAATAGCCTTTAAAATTAACATTCATTATTATTCATCATTGAAGTGTAAATAGTTTTCTAGTTTATTTTATTTATCTTAATTCGTGTATGTATGGCGGAAGAGCCCCCAAGGAGGAGTGACGCAATAAAGTATGTATGTATGTATGAATGTATCTGAGAAAATTTAGTAATCATGTGACCTACACCGACCGACGGCCCGACTGTCCGTCCGCACCACAGGCATACCAATGTAAAATAATTCAATCAACAGGTATGGCAACCAGACTGCAACTCAAGGTTTTATTTGGAAAGAAATCGCATGGCCGGCCGGACTTTAAGAAAGAAAAAACAACAACAAAGTCGTGTCTTTTTCGACGTTATTTGACAGAAAAAGCAAGAGCGAGTGATTGAAAACAAAAGAGACGAATTTTGTAGGAAGAAAAACATGAAAATTCAAAGCGGCTGTAAGACAATGAGAAATGCTAGTGGCCAGCAAGGTGAAAATGAGCGGCAGTGAAAAATAAAAGCGAAGAACACAGGAGAAAAAACACTGCGTAAGCACATACTACAGTTTCTCCATAAAAATAATGTGTACCTAGGAAGTTTGGCGTTTTAGTCCTACAAAACAGTGTTGTAGTCGTGCAAAACAATGGCAAAGAAAGACAAAAAGGGTGCTGCACATGCAAATTTGTTTTTTTGCTAATTAGAAAAAAAATGCTAATTAGCATTTAGCATTACACGATTTATTTTTTTTGTTTACAAGTATTATTAACCAGAGCTTCGCCTTTAGCCCGGGCTAAATCTATATATTTTATTTAATTAATATGTTATCATCTCACAACACATCTGTTGATACACTTCCATGACAGCACCTTCAGTGCTTTTTTGTAATGGTTCACCTAAGAACTACTGGGAGAACAATAGGCCAAGTGCAGCGGGAGCCGTTTGAGTTTCCGGGCTGATCCAATTATTTCTTCTGTTTTCATTGGTTGATTGGTCGTTTAGTGCGAAATTCAAATTGAAATGTAAAAATGCTGGATTTCGGTAGAGACTTTATGCAGAAAAAAAAAAACAGGAAAGTTTAATGTTTTGGTCCTTCTGCTCCTGTGCGAACTTTCGAGAAGATTGTATGTGCGGAAGGTTTCCAAAATACCATTTTAGCTTGCTTGTTGGATAGATTCAATAATGTGATGCCTGATTTACACACGTTTTGCCACCTCGTTTGAAACAAGATCCACAACCACTGGGGATTGACAACAAAAACACGTGTGCATTGTGGCAGGACAGTGTGCTCGATTGATTTCATCTCCAGAATTCTCCCACTTACCAATCTGAAGGAGTGTTTTTATTACTTTGCAAAATGACTGACTGGAAAGGAAACATTATTTTTCAATACAAGTTACAATAGGACGAAGATTTCTTCCTTTTTTCTGTCTTTTCTGTTACAAAACGTCCCTTGTCGTCGCCTTCCACTTGAGAAGAAGCTTCGCGTGCAAAAGTGGGAAAAAGTACGACCTTGGAAAGCAAGAAATCGTTGAAACACTTCATTTTCAAGGCTCCATCATATTTGATATCCATCAAAAATAAGACTAGAAAAGTCAAATATTCCTCATCATCATTGCCTGTTGAATTTTGAGTTGTGATAACATTTTCAATACTTGCCGTAACCACCCTCATGTATTGTAATTTTGTAGAAAGCCAGTCTAATCTGCTTGTACGGGAATAACTATAAGTCCAATGGCAAACTACGCACAACCCAAGAAATAATGGACGACAAAGATTTCAAGGTGGTTGCAGGAATGCTTCATGTGGCCAAAGCGACAGCACAAATATACACCATCGATTCTTTTGTTGCGGGGGCACCCATTGACCACGTGCAGCTGGCAAACCTCCTCCAAGTAACCAAAGAAAAATTTGAAGCAATACGGAACTGCAGTGAACAGAACAAAGACCACAAGCTTCGGTCAATACGAGACGAACTGGTAGTTTTTTCCTATAATCAAATAAGACTTGTTCTGTGGCTTGTATGATCAGGTATTTGACCCTGTAAATTCTTTTACATACTGGAAGGCAAACCGTGAGATTCACAAAACGATTTCCATAACACAAACTGCAATCCTGTCTTAACGTTGTTTAGACATCTGTTATATAACGGCAAAATGGATAGCTATAACATGAATTCTGAAACATGTATTCAGTAAAATCCTTGTGAACAAAAGTTTTTCCGGGAAAGTTTTTCTTGTATGACTTCCAGTTTCATAGATATTGCTACAGGAACACTTTTGGCTAGGGTTAGAAACAGAACAAATACACCTAGTTAAGAAAAGTTGTCACTGTGAACAGCAACCTAACGGTAACTGGGAAGCTGGATAATTTCCTTCAGAATGCTGCATAAATTGTGTTGTAAAACGTCTCAAACAAAGGAAACGTCTTGATTTTGCTTGCCAATGGTGTCTACCCAGAATTCCTATCAGTGAGATCATTCATGGTTTTTGCTTTTCATAGGTCAACGTTACTTCAATTAGGTGTTCAAATAATTTTCGGCCAAAGAATATTTCGTATATATATATACAAATACAAGTGAAAATAATGAAAATTATACGTTTTAACTATAAAAGTAAGTTAAACAGCGACATCAAGAACAAGATTAAAAAGCCAGGTATTCTTCTTATTCCCACAAACAAGACAACAAATTTCTATACCATGAACCCTTCCTCGTACGACAAATTGATTAAGGAGAACATCACCAAAACCTACAAAAAGTCAAGCGACGAACTGGTAGAAAAGTTAGAGGTGCAGTCTGCCCAAATAGCTGACCAACTCAAGTTAGACGACCGCATCGAGAAATTGGCTAAGAAAGAAGCATTCATCACGTTGAAAGATCATAAACCCAATCTTCAGGACCATCCATCATGCCGATTAATAAACCCATCGAAGCCTGAAATTGGCGTAATTAGCAAGCACATCCTTGATGAGATTAACACTTCCATCATCAGCAGCTCTTAGATGAACCAGTGGAAAAACACATCCAGCGTCCTAAAATGGTTTAACTGTCTAGAAAACAAGAATTCTCTCTCATTCATCTGCTTCGACGTTTGTGAGTTCTACCCCTCAATGACTGAGAAGTTGCTTTCCAAACTACTAGATGTTGCCTCTAAGTACCGCCCAATCTACAGTCATGAGCGTGAAATTATCTTGCATGCAAAGTGATCTCTGCTATTCAACGATAATTGCCCATGGGAGAAAAAATCTGCCAACAACCTATTTGATGTCACTATGGGATCCTTCGATGGAGCAGAGACTTGTGAACTGGTTGGATGCTTCCTCTTGTCACTTCTCACCAAGAAGTACGGCCAAAATATTGGCTTATACCGCGATGACGGTTGAGCTGCCTTCAATGGAACACCACGGGAAATAGAGAAGATTAAAAAGGGCATTTGCAAAGTCTTTTGTGACAACAACTTGAAGACCACCAAGGTCAATTTCTTAGATGTCACGCTTGACCTCAAAAGTTGGAAGTACTACCCTTACACAAAGGAAGGCAATATCCCACTGTATGTACACACAAAATCCAACCACCCACCAACCATCCTGAAAAACATCCCCGAGTCAATCGATAAGAGGCTCTCCGAGATATCCTCTGACAAAGAATGCTTTGATAACCCTAAACCCATCTATCAGGAAGCTCTCAACAAAAGCGGATATCGCTATAACCTGTCATTCAATGCCACATTAAACCAGTCACCACGTCCACCGAGAAACAGAAAACGGAACATTACATGGTTTAACCCGCCCTATAGCAAGAACGTGGAAACAAACGTGGGAAAATGCTTCCTTTCACTAATTGATAAGCACTTCCCCAAATCTAACCCACTTCACAAAATTTTTAACCGTAACACCCTCAAATTAAGCTACAGCTGCATAACAAAGCCGTAATTAGCAAATCCACACGCACTAATAATCAAACTAAGAAAAGCTGCAATGGTAGGAAACCTAACAAGTGTCCCATGGATGGAAACTGTAATGTGGAAAGCGTCATCTATCAGGACGAGGTCACCACAGAAACTGCAAAGGAAATATACATTGAACTCTGTGACACTGCGTTCAAATTGCGTTATAGAAACCATGTAAGCTCTTTCCGAAACGAGCGTTACAAACATGCTACCGAACTTAGTAAATACATTTGGAGTCTCAAAGATAAGAACGCTAAGGATAACATCAAGTGGCGCAAGATAAAACAAGCTAGTTCTTACTCCAATGTAACTAAGAGATGCAATTTGTGTTTGTGGGAAAAGTATTTTATCATTTGTAAACCGGAAATGGCAAGTCTAAACAAAAGAAATGAGCTGTCATCGTGTTGTAGACATGTTAGGAAATTCCTGTTAAAAAATGTAAGGATGTAATGACATGCCTAGACGTTACGTACGTATCCATTGTTCTGTATTTCAAATTTCTGTGATTGTAACCATTATTTCTGGCAGTTGCCTCATGATTGCTTCGCAAGAAGCATGAAACTCAGAGTTGCAGTAAATGTTCAAATAACCTAGCTCTTGGAGTATAATTATTCATAGCTCTAGCTCTGCTATTGAGCACTTTATAGCAGATGAGGATTTCTTTCCACTTTTTTGGTTATATATATATATATATATATTTTCAAATGTTTGTTTATTTCATTCACTTGTTGTGAATAATCATCTTCATCACTGTGTACCTTTATACACAGCGGTGAAGAAGTGTAATTATGTAAAAATATTGAAATATAACCCGTTTTTTGATTGATAAGAAACTCAGTGTTTTTATGACACATAAAATCCAAATTGGAGCATATGCGGTCCTTCCCAGCTTGTATACCTCTTACTTCATGAAAGATCTACAGTTTCTCACATAATAATTTATTGCCTGCAACTTACATATAAGTTTATGAAGTCACGTCACTTGACAAAAGTGACAAATAACAAACAATTACCTCAAGCACCATCAGCTATTGTTTCCCATGACAAAACATTTGTATGCCAAAAATGTGACATTTTTGAACATCACTACCCACCCCCCCCCCCAACAAACCCCCAAAAAATAATGAGGCAAAAATATTAATTTCCTCAATAATTCAAGAGGAATAACTGTATTCTTCAAAGCTATGAAAGATGGCATGCACCCAGCAAAACGTCTTACTCAAAGATGGACAATCAGGGTTTTTATGAGGGGTGTGGAAGGGGTTGTCTTAGGTAATTACCGCAAGTAAAAACTCATGAACAGCAAAAACTCGTTAAAAGACAGCTACGATCAAATAAAATCAAATACTGTAAAATTCCGAAAATAAGCCCCTCCAAATATAGGCCCCCCAAACCGGTAACACAAAAAACCCTTCCGTTAAATCGCCCCTCCAAATATAAGCCCCCTGGGACTTGTACTTGGAAAATTGCCCTCAAATATATAGTAAAACAAAGCAAAAATGGTAGATTTATTCCCAGTTATAAGGCTAGTCCAATCGATTCTGAAACGCAAATTTCCCTCCGTAGATAGGCCCCTCCAAAAATAAGCCCCTCAAAAAGGGCCGTTGAAAAACATAAGCGCTGGGGCTTATTTTCGGAATTTTACGGTAATCCAAAAAGAAATATTTGTACAACCTGAAACTGGAAAAAAAAAATTGCTGCGAAACATTGCCAAACACTACCCCCTTCTCCACCCCCTCACTGCTACACACAATATAAACAGCAATCCATAATGAGGCTCTGACTACACACAATTCTAGTGACTGACAACAAAGGTTTTCTTAGGCAGGTGACTTCTGGCATGTAGTAAATAAAAATGCTGTCATTGGCTAGCTTGCATATTATACAGTACTGTAGAAAAAGGGAGTGACAGAACAGGCTCTCAAATCACATTGCCATGTCTCTCGGAATATAGTTCTGACCCTCTCGGCTAACATCCTTGTACACTTTGAAGGGCAATAAGCAATCATTGCTCCCACGTTTACATGCCTATGTGAGTCCACTATCATACATGATCGATCTTTATTTACAATAAAAAGGAAACTTGTCCCTCTAGTGACCACAACATTGCAACTGGATGGTGGGGTAGACGTATTCAACATTTCCATTACTTCTGCCAACTGATCTTCACAGTCGTTTCCAATAAGATCAAGACCTTGTCCTATGCACTGAACAAAGCATTCTGTCCCTGCCATTTCCACAGCATCTTCCACGGCCACATCCACTCCCTCTCCTTCGAACAATTCATCATGGATTTTATTTCCCTTTTGCATTGCTTTGTACAATGCAGACTCCCACTCCATTGAAACAACACTGTGCAGTGGAGGTGGCAACTTCCAGTGGAGGTAGAGGTGTCAAAAGTACAAGGCAATGAAAGTACAAGCGTGGCAGAACTCTGCTGGCAAGGTCCACTGTAATGTGTCTGTTAAACTGGGAACTGTGTACCCTGTAATTTCACGAAAGGGGGATGTAGCAGAACGTGAAGTGTAGTTTAGAACCAGGGTAGGCTGTATAGTTGACTGGGACATGGTGGTAGGAACTGTTGAGGTATGGGCACACACAGGGTTAGGCTGCTGTAAAGATGCTGTCGAGCCAGGGACAGACACAGGAGTGGGCTGCTGCACAGGAACTGTTGAGCCAGGGACGGAAACAGGAGTGGGCTGCTGTACAGGTACTGTCGAGCCAGGGGCAGACACAGGAGTGGTCGAGCCAGGGATGCTTGGAGACGGATGACCCACCCCTTTGCAAATGACATGCTTCCTCTTGCGAGACATTCAAAGTTTGTTTCCTTTTCTGATGGTAGGTGCTCCACCAGGTACGGATTTGTGTCTCTTTGAGGACTTCTGCACCCTGGAGTCTCATACATGCAATGATATCTTTTGGATCGGCTCTGACACCACTTAATGCTTGTCGGTTGTAAAAAGATATTATTTCTTTTTGAGCCAAGGAGAAAATTACTCTTACCAGAGGATTTCTTTATAGCATATCCATTAGATGGCTGCAGATTTGTGGCAATCCTTCCACGCTGAAAAAAGGATGGGGACTGTAGTGGTTCAGGTGCATGGTTTATAAAACGCACACTATATACATCTTGGCTGGGGAGACTTTGTAAGCCCTCTTCTCTGGTTTGTGGTACTGGTAATTGCGAAGAGATGGAAGAGCCCGTTGAGCCAGCCATAGGGGATTTTCTTGTAGTGATCTTTTGAATCTGAGCCTTTGTCTTTTTGACAACTTTGCTAATACCAGCCAAGGAATGTGCGATGATGCCCCCAGCAAATTATCCTTAAAGAGGAAATATGAATATGCCCATTTTCTTAGGAGCCCTACTTATTTCGATGGACAACTGGAAACATGATACATTCTTCATGCTCTATTTCAAAAAGAAAGAAAAAAGAAAAAAAATTATCACTGTGCTGTGTCTATCAAAACTGACTAATATACTTTTGTTCCTTCACTCCAAAAGGTGTATCTCTCATCACCTGGGGACAGTCACCCCTTACTTTGAGTTATGTTTTCCATTTTTGTCTGCTATGTCATCATAATTCAGCCTGTGTACTTTTTGTTATAAATTATTTTGAATTGGATAGAGGGGGCATTGAATTTGGGTTGCTCAACTTAGGGGCAGTGCTTATTGGGCACTAAGTAAGGATTTGTGCCTATATTATATTTAGGAGCTTTTTAGGGTTATTTTTATTACATTATAAAAATAATAATTTATTTGAAAGGGGAATTAGATGTTATATTCCCGGCATTAAAATATAGACATGAAGAGCAATAAAAAAATAAATGCAGATCGTTATAACAAACAAAGAAAACCTGACAATGCACCTCTGCAACTGACGTCTTTCCACACGTGATTGTTAGAATGTATTTAACCCTACCAAAGAGCCGAATGTGCCTTATTTTTGTTGCTCAAAATTTACTTCCATAAGCCTAGAGAACTTTTTTTCAAAACCCAGTTAACTTAAATGTTTCTGGAAGCCCATGTGCTGGTGAGAGACTGCAAGAGTAGTGCCTATCCCTTTAGATCACTGAAGTATCTGGATCAGGTTTTACGTACAGTATCTACAGGTATACAGCGTTTTCACGTGATGTCACGGTGGCCATATGGGTGTCTCAAAACAATGAAATGCGGCCAAGATGGTGTCCCGTACTAATCCTGGGGAATTGAACTCTTTTCTCATGTAAATAATTTCCTTTGTTCCAATATAGTTACATAGCTGCTGGTCACGTGAGTGAAACTGTATGAATGTAACATGGAGTGGAAATAAATTGCACACATACCAGAAAACAGATAAACAGAGAATCCTAGGAAGGCCCTCTCAAGCCATGTAAAACAGACATCTAATGCACTTTGGGTAAAGAAGGCATCTTGTTTGGTGTCTTCTGACCACAAGTCAAACACGTCGCAGCTTTTTTCGTTTTCTCCAATCTGTGCAACAATGTAACACCCATGCAGCGATATCCCTGTCTTCCCATACCAATCACGCTGAATCTCGCGGGTCCTTTTCCCAGGTTCCAATTTCATCTTACAGTCAATGACCATAACGCACTCCCCAGGCTTCAAATACTTCAAAACAAAGTTGTAGTAGTCACCTTGATGTTTCGTACGAAGAAGGTGACCCAAATAGTCAAAGTGCACCTTATACACTTCTTCTAGTCTGGCTTTTAAATCATCCTTGGCCGAAACATCACTCATGGACTGAATTGATTGCATAAGGGAACTATGCACATCATAAATTAGAGAAATGTCAGTTAGAACTGAGCTGTGCTTTTCTGAACAGGAATCAAATGCATGTGACAAGCAAAGTTCGAGGTAAGGAGAATGCTTCTGAGCACGTTTAGGGAATGTTGTCTTCAAAAATTTCTGATAGCGTTTCACATCCTAGGAGAGGGCTGATGCATTGACATCAGAGCAACTGGATGACACCTGAGATGATAGCCCAGAGTTCATCAAAATTGGAGTATCCAAAATCATCACACAAGTTACACAGACCTGCCAACATGGTGTTTATTCGAAAATTAATTGGCAAGTGTCTGTAAATGTAGGTCCTCTTCACTCCATTAGGGAATTCCAGAAGGTACTGGTTAATAAGTCCCTTGACAGTATCCTGCCAGTACTTCACAGCTGTCTCCTCGCCTTCAACCAAGACACTCTGGCATGACGATGGCCTTGATATATCATCTCTATGGAGAAATTCACAAAGTTCCTTTAACACTTCGGAACTAACGCATTGACGGGTAAATCTGAATTTGTCCATGGGGACACCCCCACATCCAAGTAAAATGCAGTGTACTCTAGCCGCGGTGACCATTTTCGAAGAACAATTGAAGAGTTTTTCTACTACTGAATATGAGTAGTCTGTTGCAACGATGGACAAAAGTCTTCTCTTTTCATCAGAGTAACTTCGAATCCTGCCAAGATCTTTAGCTGCATCACCGCGCGATTTGAAAACCTCTGAGGTCACCCCACTCAGAGAAATTCTACTGTCCCGTAGAGTCTGTCCAATCAAAATTGTCTGGGTTTGCTTTGCTGATCGAAGTCGTACCACTTTACTCAAATCTTTATCCTTGCAGTGTTTGTATTCGGCTGCAAGGTTAGTGAGGAAGATACTCTCCTGGTAAACCTTGTTGTGGCAACTTTCAAATGTGGACTTCCACTTTTGCAATGCAACAAGTTTTTTACAAATTCAGGTATGTCTTTTGCGTTATAATGCACAAATTTGTTAGCACATTCTTCAACAACCTTGATGGTCTTTGACCTCATAACTTGCTGAGTCCTATTTTCTGCGTCCTTGTACGGTTGTAAAGGCACTTCCAAAACTTGCACATGTGTGGAGCTGGAAGACGAAGGTAGACTGCTTGGTGAATATTCAGTGTTGTCAATTTCACCTTCGCCGACAACAGGTACATTGCACATATCTTCCGTCGCGTACTGACTGGCTTGTTGATCCTAAATAACAAACAAATAAAATAAATAAATGAAAAAATTATCACGTATTCCATATACTAACCTACAAGACGTAAGTTAAAGTGTGCGAAAAAATCAGATATAAGCTTATTGAACGACAGAGATGTGTGGAACATGAGAAACCAAAACATGGCAATTGCAGAAGTGTAAACGTCTTAAGTCTTCCACAGCAAGCTAAACATATCTTTCTTTTTCGGCCTTTGTTTTTCGAACTATCGACCTCGCAAAACGTTAGCTCCTCAGGATCTGCAACTCGTAATGCATCAGGTGATACATTTCCATGGCTCCAGGTGCTGTGTTTCGTGCATACGCAACGAGCAGTGAACACCATTACAAGAAAAAATGTAAGCGAAAAAATGAAAATACAAGCGGATTTTGAGCTATATACACTATTTACAAAATTGCGAAGACCACTAAACGACGAAATTTTTTAAGAGAAAGCAATGCGTGAAGATCCAGTAACAATGGCAGACATTCAAGTCAGAACAAACTTAACTTCGGAAAACCGACTTCCGCACATACAAATCGTCTGAGAATTGGCCGAGAGTAGGAACAATAAGATATCGACCATAAAAGGCATTAGTTTCGGCCCAAATGATGTTTTTGACCAATGAGAGTGGCGGAAATTAATTAATTCAATTAAAATGGATCGTTCTGCGCATGCATTGCATTTCGCCCCTTTCCTTCTTATGCGAACCATTACTTAAAGCTTTTTAATAAGCAGTGTAATAAGAATTTGCTTGCCAAAGAGAAAAAAGAAAGACGTTTACGGCATAAACTAATACAGACGTTCTCACCTGATGTGTGACCTGTCTTGATGAATGAATTACACAATCACACTGTATCTAGCTTCATTGATACATCCATTGGGAGCCTTTGGACTAAATCATTTTTTGTTATCATCTCCTTTTGCACTTCAGATCAGTTGAACTAGATAGCTACTCAAGGGAAACAATTCCATTTCATGTCAGCAGTGCTATGTCTGGCCATGTGTTCGATCGCGATACTTCTCATCGACTTCTTCCCATTAAATTTCAAGAGAAACTTATCCCTACAATGCTACGAATTATAAAATATGGTTCTCACTCTATTTCTTGCTACTATTTTGATCGTATGAGCATTTTCTTCCAAAAGATATCCTCCATCCGGTGTCATTCACAGGCGTTCCTTTGAGAAGTTCACTTCGGCCACATTTTATATCCCAGCATGCTCAAGACAACAAGCAAAAACTTACAAGGGAGGGGATGGGAAATTTGTATCAAACCCCAAAAGCGATTCAACTGAAGTTGGAAACATCTCGAATAACTTTTAAAAACGCCTGGTTACCCCACTTTTCTTTGGTTGTATGAAAGTGTAGTTCCTATAGAGCACATGATTTATTTTGTTCGGGGTGAAAAAATTATCTAGATACTTTTTAGGGAAAACAATGGAGAGCTGTCAGTTTTGATTATGCCTCTTTTGAGGTGGTTCTGACCCTAAAAATGTCAAAAACGTTATTTTCCACCCACGTGTATTTTCTAAAAAAGGATTTTGTATTTATTGTTGACTTAGCTGTTTTAACGGCTAGTTTCATTAAAACCTTTAAAGAAATTGACACTTTTTCAATTTTATGAATATTGCCTAATCAGCACTATTTTTCAATATTGAAGCGCCATTATCTCGCAAAAAAGCCTGGTTACCCCCAATTATTTTTTTGGATTTCAATACCCCTCACTACAACCTACTTATCCCCCACAGTCATTATCTGGGGAAAAATACTTCCCATTAGTGGGCACCGTCCTTAAGTAAAACATTACTGATCCTGTAGCACCTTAACCCCCCTTATCTGATTAAAACCACATTGAGGTTTTCAGTAGACCAATCACAAGCAGGACAATTATTTCTTGCCCAAGTATACACGTTTGTACAATCAAAGGACAATTATTGCAAAAAACTTAATCCACTCCATATTAAGGACCTACCTGTCTAGAACAAATCTGAAGAAGACTCAGTATGCAGGTACTGTTCAATTCTTCAACTCCGGCAGTGATAAGAACCTGGGGTATCCAATCGATGGAATCGATGATCGGAAAACCAATCGATCAATCAATATCAATCAATGAAACTAGTTAATTGGTATCGATTGGTATTGGTCAATCGATGATCAATCAATAACCACACAAAAATTGTTCATCGATTGGCATCGATTGGCACAGAACCTTGAGACAGACCTCACGCACGCTACCGATCATCCGGCATTTTTAGGAACCCCTGGGGATGAAATTGGTAAAACAATTCCAACCCAGACTTCTCAGCGCAAAGAATATACCCTGTTACACGTGTACTCGAATTACCCACTTGCCCGTCATTGCCTTTCCGTGTCATAATGTCTACGCAAGACGTCCTAGCAGAGGCTTTACTGAATATAAGGTGCATCGTCAAAGGCTCTCATCTTTGCCGTTTTGAGGTGAACGTCGGTGAAGTGTTCACTGCAACCAAGAAGAGGGGAGAACACGGAAATGCATTTAAAGTTGTGAACCATCGTGGACAACTCGGCCATCTACAGTCCGAGCTCATGGATCCTCTTTGGCCACTACATGCAGATATTTCAGTGTTAGTGAATTTTTTTTATTAAAACTGTAACAAACAATCCGGGCAAGCAAATATGAAATTATTCAAAACACATACATTGTTATTTCGGTGTACTGTTCATAACATTGTATTTTGCTCCTTTTGCTAGAATTGTGACAGGACCTCCAGTTGACGATCCAAAGGGAAGATGGCGACGTGGAGGTGGTATAATCAATGTTCAGGTTCGCCTTCCAGAAAGGGAAGCTCGGGAGGTAAAACGAAAACTTTAGATATGTGGCTGTCAAGTAAAGTTGAGTCCAGCTGAGTGAAGTCCGAATGAAGTCGTCTGTCAAAGCTCAGCCAGCAGATGTTCCAACTGTACTTCATGCAACCGGGAATTTAACAAACGGAACATTTTTAAATCTAAACGAATTTAATTACCCGAGAATTTATGACTAATAATGTAAGCGGCGCAGGCGGCGCTGTGTGTAATTTGAAAGACATCATATACAATCAATTAAGAGCTTTAATCAGTCATTAAAACCAGTTTGAAACTTGCAGCATGTCTCTTTGTACAGTTACTTTGCAGTTGCGCTTGAGCTTGGGTTGGTCTCAATTACCATGTACTGGCCTTGTTTATAACTGCCATCCTTCTGTAGACGGTGGTGGTTTTGGAACCAGTTTGATATCTGTTGAATAGAAATCATTGTTTGACGGTTTCCTGTGGTAATGATTGATTTGAAAAAAATTTCTTACACTTGAAGCAACTAAAACTGAACATATTGTATTAAAAAAACCGATATAAGCTACCGCGAAAGCAAGACATTACAGGAAAGCATATATATTATACTTATCATAGGCAAAATTAGGGGTGCTGGCAAATGATCGATTCTTGATAAAAAGTATCAATTACCAGCCCATCTGCCGGATCTTGGCACTTAACACCCGGTTAACAATACCCCTCAGAAATGGGACACATAACACCTTGGGGAAATTTTTATTTCATTTCCAGTTGAAGATCAGTTGAAGAGCACCAACCGACCATCATGTCTGGGCGTGTGTTCTTCTTCATTCTATTTTCATTTCTTTTGAAGGCACTTTGTGCATCTCATACAAAAGTCTCAACGGTAAACAAGGAGCTCAAGTCATTAGGTTTTAAAGCGATTTCCTTTAATGATGGTTTTGAGACAAGTTTGACATGTCAAGCTTGTGGTGTTTCCCTGAAATGTGACAAAAACTCGAACGCTATTTGGGTCCTTAAACGGCACACAAGAGAAAAGTTGCATCAAATAAAGGCAGGATGGCTCTTAGATGATGACAACAACGCAAAAGCAGTCAGACCTAAAGGTAAGTCCTACCACATCATATTCCAGACCAAGGGAATTCAAAAGCCTCTCCATAGTTGCCCTTGATGGGAGGCCACTTGATGCCTTGAAGACAGTATCTAAAGCTGCTAGTTCGGCTTTATCAAAGCATTTTTGGGATTTCGGCTTGACACCAATGGTTTCCGCCGGTTGGCTGTCAGTGGAGCTTGGTTTGTTCCTTCCTGTTAAAATTAAAAAAGTAATTCAATTGCACTTGATTCAGTAACACATTTTAAAATTGCATTGTATTTGTAGCATAAAATACCTTTTCTCGCGTTGACAAGCATCGCTTGTTCGGAGGGGGAGTTAAGAAATTTCACCATTGAAGCCCATGGCTCTCCCTCGGCTCCTTTTGGCATTGTTGCGGGTGGGTTATTGAGCAATGTGGAAGTCGTTCCTTGTGATCGATTGATCTGTTTGGAGAAAAGAGAAACTGACACTCGGTTCTTTTGAAGCCACGTGCGGATTCTGCCTGCAATTTCAGCTGGTTCCGAGGGTGTTTTGTCTCCGGGTTTATCGACAGACTCTACAGTCTTGGCTGCAGGATCCGTAGATGAAAATCTATAATAAGGCAAAATATGAATTTGGTGATTCCAGTAAACCGACGGTACTAACTTTCCAACAGCGAATTGTCCATTGTGTGCACTGATGAATTCTCGAAACGCATCAGCCTCTTGGGTGGGAATTAGAACTGTGAACTTTACAACAGAAACCCACTAGTATTAATATTTATAATGCATGCAATGATTCAAGGAACAAATTACCAGGATCACCTTTAACATGCCCTCTCCTTCAGCCATTTGCAAAACACAGAATTGTAGCAAAGCCCTGAATTCTAGCGACAGACACTGTACCAATAGCCTGACAAACAACTGTGGCCGGGTGACGAAGGAATTTTATTGTAGTGATATCTAACGTGGCATATTGACGAGAAACAGATGCGTTTTGGACATGAAGCTGTGATAGGCTTTGTTTTACTTATTTAATACTGTGATATAATTAATCAAAATTTCAATCACAGCAACGGTTGCTAATTATGCCAAATAGAGAGACTGAAAAAATATATTGGAGGAAGTTTTATTTAGAACCATTCTTTCTTATATATTAACAAGGCGTTGATAAGATATGTACAAATGCAATTGTTTTCCCTGGTTGTCGGAGAAGGTCAGGTTTAGGACTGGGGAAGAGGGTTGTGTAACTCTCGCTTTAAAGAAGGGTTTTAAAAAATTAAGTAGGTGATTGGTCAGTGTGTGTGGTCAATTTCTGATATGATAATTGTAGCAAACATTTTGTCCACAGGTTCTAAATTGATGACGGATTTCTTTA